ACTATGCTCAGAGTGGGGAGCGAAGTCTTCACAGCCACGTGAGTTGGTGCTGAAAGGTTGGGTCTGGGCTGGTGAGGGCCAGGCAGAGGGAACAGCAAGGACAGGGGATTGGAGTGTGGCATCCCCTGGACAGGAGTCAGGCTCCTTCCACAGGTGAGGAGTCCTGGGCAAAGGCATTGCATTCACTTTTTGACCTTTAGCCTTGCGGCTCTGGCCTTTGCCTGCCCCTGCTTTTGATTCATAGTAGAAAGTTAATTCCCTTCCCCCTCCCCCCCCATCTGTCCCTCCTCCTTTTCCTTTACCGGATTTGGATCTCTTGCATGTGTTTTTAATAGGCATCCCTTAATCCAAGTGTTGCCTTCTGGGTTTTATTCTGTTTTCTTTTCCTTAAACAAAACAGAAAGTCCATGCCAGCTTGGAATAGGGCTTAAAAGCGAAGCCAGCCAGTGCCGTTAGGCTGGCGGAGGGCCAGTCGTGAATTAAGCGCCCCGTGCCACTCGAGAAGTCTGGCTGCTCCCACAGCAGTGGGGGCAGGGGGCCGAGAGTGGCAGGAGCAGGCGGTTCGTGCCTTTCCGTCACCTCTCCTGCGGGAAGAGAGATCAGCGCGGACTCCGTCTGGCCGGGAGCAGGGCTGTTTGAAGGGCAGGCCTTGGGCATTGTCCCCTACCACCCCACGTGTGCTGAGTCTTGGGCCTGGAGAAACGAAACCACTGTCGTGGAGGCAAGTCCCCACAGCTTTCGGAGTCATCCTTCCCGAGGAACCTTCGAGTGGCATGTCTTTGGGTCCTTTTCAAGAAGCAGTTCAGCAAAATTACTTTTGCATCTGTTGGCAGACTCTTAAAATTAAGGCTGGCTGGCTTGATGGATGTGGGAGGAGAGGTGGCCGTCTGTGAGGTTTTTTTTTTTTTTAAGATTTAGTGCCAGGAGAAGCTTTGGTTCCCTCGCAGAACCGGTAAGCATTGTCTATGCGTAACCAGAGCCACTATCATATTATGCTCCCTTTTTGCCTTGTCTGCTAGGAAGCTCAGAGCCAAGCTAAGTGCTCTCTCGGTTGGTAGCTATAACCTGTGGTTATTCTGTTTATAATGTTCTCCTTTCCAGGGTCCTGACTCTTTGTTTCTCTTGTACTTAACTACGGTGTGGATGAGTCATTTGGTGGGGAGATCGGGGGGAAATGAGGGCATACATACAGTTTAAAATAGGCTGCCATTCAAGGCAGAACCCAGAAGTGGTGACCATACATTTTGGTCTGTAGCTCCTCTTGCAGAAGTGCCTTGAGGAAGCAACTGAGAGGTGCTAGGAGGGACAGAGGTGAACGGCAGGGCCAGACTTTTGTTGTGTGCAGAGAACAGTGAATGCCTGGCTGGGGGTGCTGCTCTGGTCAGTCCTGCTTCTGAACACAGGCCAGCTCACCCCAACAGCACTCTGTAAAATGGTGCCCTACAGACTTTGCCTTGGCCTGACCGTGCTGCTCCCACTCTCAACTAGCATCTTATTAATTACGTGTCAGGCTTCTGAGTCCAGTATATCCACAAGTTATAGGGATGTTTGGATAAGGGCTCAGATCTGCTTGGGGGGGGCCTCTTCGGGGAGGACCCCAACCCCCTCTCTGATCCTGAGATGCCTCAAAGCCCACATTTCTCCAGAGTGGTCCTGGCACCATGTTACCCCGTGGGTGGCCTGTGGCTTTTCTACTTTTGATGGGTAGGCTGTGCCAGTGCTCCCGGGAGCCAAGCTCACCCTCTTCTGTCTTTACTAAGCCAGGGGGTGCTAGACAGGGCTTTATAATTTGGGGGGAGGTCTCTGTTCTGTGCTTTGCTGGGGAAGCCAGGGCCAGCCCAGACCAGCCTGGCTGTCTCGGGCCAGATGCACAGTGATCTAGATGGCCTGCACCAGGTGTCTTCCGGTAAAGCTAAAGTCGCTGTCCAGACCAGGGAGACGGGCACAGCAAGATCAGCCGAGCCTGCCCCCAGGCAGTGGTGATCAGCAGCCCTTGCCCAGTACCTCGTGGCCTTGTCACTGACCCAACCCCCTGGAGTGCTTGGATTGTGCTTGGATTTCTTAGGCTTTTTTTTTTTTTTTTTTTTAAGGTTTCCAAAGCAACATACCTCACATTTTAGTGACCACGCTGTTTAGAATATAGCTTATCTCACTGGAATGTCGAAGCATTGAGTGCAGCCAGAGCCGGATGTGGCCGCTGTGGCTCAACCCAGCCTCAGGAGCACAGGCCACGAGCCATGGTCACTCTTGACCCCGACACTCCTCCCCTCCCCTTTAAAAGTAGCTTAGATCCCCTGCCTTCCCCTGTCTTCCCTCCTTCTACCCTGGGAAGACCGGAGAGGGGCAAAGACGCCTTGCCTCCTCTGCAGTAGAGGTTGGGACAGGAGCAGGTGTCCTCAGGTTCACATATGAAATCAGTTCGATGTTGTCAGCACCATGTATTGAGTGCTTGATGCTTGCCCAGCAACTCATGTGATTTCTCCCAGTCCCTCCGCAGACAGCACCTGGTGGTAAAGAGGGCTCTCCACCTGGTGGCTGCAGGGGGAGATGTGGAGGCTGGAACGTGGAGCTGGGCTGGTTTGCAGTCACACGGCTGGTCCCCGCCAGAGCCCAGAGTGAGTTCTGGGCTGCCTGGCTTCAAAGCTTGAGCTCCATGACCTGGTGGAACATCTAAGGCAGTGATTTTCAGCCGGGGGCTCTTTTAACCCTTCAAAGACACCTGGCAATGTCTGAGGCCATTTATTACTGTCACAGCTGGGGAGGGGGAGATGGACCGTGGGCTCCCGACATCTAGTGGGTAGATACCAACCAGAGATGCTACTGAACATCCTGTAACCTACAACACTCCCCCCGCTCATCCCAGTCGAAGAGTTAATTGGGCCACGATGTCAGTAATGCCGAGGGAAGGAGCCTGATCTAGGGGTCCTAGCCCTCCAACGGACACTTTCTGGGTTTGTGTTGAGTGCAGCTATGTTACGGGTCTGCACCTCCTCCCACGTGTGGTAGGCATTCTCTTTACCCTTAGAAGGGGTCGCAGGTGTAGATCCCACAAGTAGATCTGGGCCCTTTGCCCTCGGGGCGGGGGGTGGTGGTGGCTTCCAGGCCCCTCCCAGCACAGCTTTTGATTTTTGTCTTTTTTTTAATGTTTTTTATTTATTTCTAGGAGAGGGAGAGAGAGAGAGACAGTGTGAGCAGGGGAGGGTCAGAGAGAGAGGGAGTCACAGACTGAAACAGGCTCCAGGCTCTGAGCTGGCAGTCAGCACAGAGCCCGACGCGGGGCTCGAACCCACGAACCGCGAGATCATGACCTAAGCGAAAGTCGGACGCTTAACCGACTAAGCCACCCAGGCGCCCCAATTGATTTTTGTCTCTTGTTCCTCCCACACTTCCAAAGGTCTGGTGAGCACAGATCCCAGTGGGTTCTCGCTCCAGGAAGGGGCTCGGCACGCAGTGAGCCGGGGTCCCTGGCCAGTGCTGAGACCTGGCACGGCGAGCCCTTCCTGTCTGTGCCTCACACCGGCTCCCACAGATGCACCCTCAGGAACCATGTGACTCCAAACATAAGAGCCAGAGGGGGTGATCTGGCCTGAGGTCCGAGATGGAGGCGTGAGAAGGGGCAGGAGGCTCACTGGTTCTCCAGCGAGGGGGTTGATCCGAGTAGGCAGCGGGAGAGCTGTGGTGCGATGCTTCGGCCCCTGGGGGAGCAGTGCGGTGCAGGGAGGTGGCTGGAAGAGGCTGGACGGGAGTGCCGGGGAGCCCCGTTAGCACGCTGTGGCACTGCCGCCAAGGAGGAAGGACAGAGGCCTGGCCCAAGGCTAAGCACGGACCCACTGAGGGATGCGGGAGGAGGACAGGGTGCCTGGGCAGGTGTGACCAGAGTGGCCATAGGTGACGGGAGGGAGTCACAGGAAAGGTGATGTGGGATCACGTGAGGGGAAGCCTCTATTTCAGGGGTTCCCAACTCTGGTGAGAAAAACCCAGCTCCTCCCAACATGGCAGCGTTGCTCTGAGGAGCCCTTGGTTGAGACCACAGACTGACAACTAGGACACATTGAGAATTGCTTATGGGGCGCCTGGGTGGCTTAGTCGGTTAAGTGTCCGACTTTCGCTTAGATCATGATCTCGCAGTTAGTGGGTTCGAGCCCCGCGTCGGGCTCTGTGCTGACTGCCAGCTCGGAGCCTGGAGCCTGTTTCAGTCTGTGACTCCCTCTCTCTCTGACCCTCCCCTGCTCACGCTGTCTCTCTCTCTCTCTCTCCTAGAAATAAATAAAAACATTTAAAAAATAAAAAAAAATAAAAAAAAAAAATAAAAAAATAAAAAAAAATAAAAAAAAAAAAGGAGAATTGCTTTTAGATGAGTCTGTGTCTTAGCCACCCCTACGTAGCATCTGGATACGTTCGGAAGATAGTTTCTGCAACAAGAGACGCGGACCCTGTTTAGCCTGTGGACAGCACCTGGGGCCCGTGTGGTCACAGCCCGGCACCCGCGGAACCCCCCGCTGGCCCAGCCGTGTCATTTTATGGGCTTGGATACTGACGGCTGCTCTACGGGCCATGAGCGTCCAAGACCAGACAGAGTCGAGAGCCCGTTTGGAGGCAGAGGTCACCGTGGGTTACTCCGGAAGCGAGGCTGGGAGCTGGCCGGGGAGGTGGCGTGGCACGCCGGGCCTGCCCAGTGGGTTTGCCCAGGTGCGGGTTGATGCCTGGCCCTCTTGGGGTTTGGTCCAGCACCTCCTTGGGCACTTTTTCAGTCCGAGGCCAGCCAGGCAGGACGGGATCTCTGTGAGCTAAAACTAAATGAACGTGGAATGTTTTTCCAAACCCCGGAGTATGTTATCCCACTGGATTCTGCAAGTTTAAGATCATACTAGGCATGAGAGCAGAGGACTGTAACACCCACTGAGAGGTAGAGAAACACTCTCATGCAGCGTCCAAGGGACCTCGTTGAGGAGTGTGCGACCCGGGGGCCCCTGACTCAGTAGCCTGTCCTGTCTCCCCAGACCTGCAGCCCGTCACCTACTGCGAGCCAGCCTTCTGGTGCTCCATCTCCTACTACGAGCTGAACCAGCGTGTGGGGGAGACATTCCACGCCTCCCAGCCCTCCATGACCGTGGACGGCTTCACCGACCCCTCCAACTCGGAGCGCTTCTGCCTGGGGCTGCTCTCCAACGTCAACAGGAATGCAGCCGTGGAGCTTACGCGGAGGCACATCGGTAAGGATGCCACCTTTCCCCGTTTACCCACCCCCTCCCCGTGGCCCCAGCAGCCACGGTGCGGAACCCACCCACCTGCGCTGTGCGGCGCCTCTGGCTGGGGAGGGTGCAGTCCCCCAGCACGCCTCCAAACCCTGTACTGCCTTGTTTAGGGGGCCAGACCGGAAGAGTTCACGGTGCTTGGTCATTCCCATTCAGAGACAGAGTATGTCTGACAGTGTGAAAGCCACAGAGGAAAGCCTTCACTTAAGGGATGGGGCAAGAGTGGGGAATCTGAGAAGGGCAACATTGGCAGTTCTCTCCATATAAATCCCTAGTGGTAGGTGGATAGGTAGCTGGGGTCAGTCTTGACAGAGTGATCTTTTCTTTGTTAGCTTCCCATAGTACTAGGCTGCCAGAACAGCACTGACGCTAATATTCTGCCTTCCAACACTCAGAATGTGATAAAAGACGGCTTATAGAGGAGGAAGCCATGTACGTGTTCCTTGGTTTGCTCATAAAATTATTGTGCTAAGGATATTTGTAATTTTGTGGTCCCGAGTCACTCCGAAGGCCATGGAGATGGTGTAGTAGGGTATTCTGGGTCCAGAGCCCCCACGGGTGGCGGACCGGCTCCAGGGCAAACTCAGGAGCTGGGCAGGGCGGCAGGGGGTCTGGTCTTGATCTTGTCTGTGTTATATCTTGGGCTTTCACAGAAGATTTCATTTGAAGAGAGGATTTAATAGTTAATAAGAGTTTAGGAACCATAGGCGTGGGCCTGTGTGCTCATTTTCCAGGGGATAACCTGACGCCCAGGGAAGAGTAGAGCCTTGCCGAGGCCACACAGGGAGTGACACAGCCAGTCACAAACAATCCCTTGCTGCTGCGCCCACATCCTTCCCGGCCTGCCTCCCCATTTGTTTTACTTCAAAAAAGATACTGATCCTGGGAGGCATATGTAGTTATTTATTCTCTTTATGCTTTTCTATATTTAAAAAAAATTTAACATTTTATTTCTGAGACAGAGCGAGCAGTGGGGGAGGGGTGGAGAGAGAGGGAGACACAGAATCTGAAGCAGGCTCCAGGCTCTGAGCTGTCACCACAGAGCCCAACGTGGGGCTCGAACTGATGAGCTAGGAGATCATGACCTGAGTCAAAGTCAGACACTTAACCGACTGAGCCACCCAGGTGCCCCTACTTTTCTGGATTTTAAAAAATAATATTTCAGATATTACCAAAACAAAACACATTTTTTGTTGTTTTGGTCTGGGTCTACCCATCTCTACCTGTGACCTTGACTGACCTGACCCCGTGGCCCCTCCTTGTGGAGCCCGAGGCTGCCAGCACCCCACGTATCTGCGACACCCAAGTCTCGCGGCACCAAACCAAGAAGAAACGGGGGAGTGGCAGTCGTGGGAGGAGGCGGCAGGGAGAACACCCAGTGGCCCCCTGGTTTCTATCCCACTTGACGTCTCGCCCGTAAAGCCTGGCTCCGTTTTCCAGCCCTCTGGGCCTCTTCCCCAGAAGCAGCAACAGAGGCCTTCCCGTGCGGCAGGAGAGAACATCCCTGGCTGAGAAGAGAGCTCATTGTCAAGAGCGTTTACGTAACTGTTTGCTCGAATTACAGAGGCAATTTAAAAATAATTCCTGTCCATCTGGAACGGATTTAAGAGATGAAGGAAAAGTGAATGATATAAACCTATGGAATGTTTTAGAAAAATGCACTGGGGAGAGAGAAAGGTACAGGAGGTGGCGTTCAGCCATCCCGGTAAAGCAGGGCGCCTGTGGGGTCGGCTGCCTCCGGAGCAGCTCTGCAGGTTTGCTGAGTGAATTTTTGTAGCAGTAGCTGTAGTAACAGCTCGTGCTTATTCGCAGGTGCTTAGTGGGCGTGGCACAACCACTCTGGGAGGTAGGCAGTGTTGTTACCCCATCTTCCAGACGAAGAAACTGAGGCTCAGAGCTTGAGTAACTGGATCGGAGGCCCATGGCCAGTCGGTGGCAGAGGATGTCCCTGAGACGTACGCCCTGCCCTCGCCCCTGGCTCTCGCCATCTGCCACCTCTAGCTTCAGGAACCGGTTTCCCGTGTGTGGGGTTCGCCTTGCCCGTGGGCCCTGTCTGTCTGGGGAGGCTGGCAGGGAGACAGTCCCTCGGAGCACCGGCTGCAGCTCTGCCTCCTCGGCTAGCCTCCGCCGGCCCTGCGGCCAGACACCCCGGGCCCACCTGACCCACGTCTCCACAGGCCGAGGCGTGCGGCTGTACTACATCGGAGGGGAGGTCTTCGCCGAGTGTCTCAGCGACAGCGCCATCTTCGTCCAGTCTCCCAACTGTAACCAGCGCTATGGCTGGCACCCAGCCACAGTCTGCAAGATCCCGCCAGGTAAGAGCTCCCCACCCCCCCACCCTAGCCCTGCCCCGACGGCCTCTCTGGCCCCGGTGCGTGCCTGGGAGAGGCGTCTTCTTACCGTTTCTCCTCCTCGCTGGGGGGTTTCCCGTGCTTACTGTCGGGCGGCGCCCTCCTTGACCCTCCAGGAGCAGACACAGCACTTGCTGCCTCGGGTGCACAGAGGCTCGGGCATTTTGCTTTCTTCTTTCATTCCACAAACTCACAAGTGCGCGGGCACAGGGCCAGGTGGCTGGGGGAGCGGGAGGGGTGCGGGAGGCCCTGCTGCTGTCCCCACAGACCTTAAAGACCAGCTCAGTATGTAAGAGAAAGACACGAGTGAGTCTAATACAAGGAAGGGTGCTAAGCACCAGGCAGGTAGCTCAGATAAGGTGCTCCTGGATCCGGGTGGGGGTGGGGGGACTCATTTAACTGCTGGGATGGATCAGGGAGAGCTTCATGGAGAAGGCATTCTGGCACTGAAGGCTGGGTAGGCACAGGGTGACGGTGGGGTGGGGACTGTGAGGGCATTCCAGGTCGAGGGAACAATATGGGCACAAGCCCAGAGGCAGTGCAGGGCAAGGCACGAATGGGTGGCACCCTGGCTGGAGGAGAGGCCACGTAAGACCGGAAACGTTTAGAAAGAATGATGGGACCAGACCACGGAAGGACATGACAAAGTTGTACTTTTATTCTGGGGAACTCGTGAGGGTTTTCCGAGCGGGGCTGACAGCTCCCACCTGGACTCCAGGAGAGGGTGTCAGGCGCCACCCCAGAGGATGGCTTGCCAGTGGGGGGAGGGGGTGGCTGCCCAGCAACACTCACAGAAGGCTGATCCCATCAGGGCCTCTCGACTTCGGGAACCAAGGCCGAGAGGCCGGGCCAGAGTGCCCTGCTCACAGGCACGCAGCCCCTGGGCTTGCTGCTGGCAGAGGCAGGCTGTCACTGGCTGGTCCTGCGTGTGGCACATGTGTGGCACACGTGTTCCTGTCTGCTAAGCAGCAGATGATAGCGGAGCGATGGGCTTGGGGCAGGGTCAGCTTAAGAATGCAGGAGGCCTGGGGTGCCTGGGCAGCCCAGTCGGTTAAGCGTCTGACTCTTGATTTCGGCTCAGGTCATGATCTCAAGATTTCGTGGGTTCAAGTCCCACATCGGGCTCTGTGCTGACAGTGCAGAGCCTACTTCAGGTCCTCTGTCTCCCTCTCTCCTTGCCCCTCCCCCCCTTTGCTTTCTTTCCCAAAACCTAAAAAAGAATGCAGAAGGTGCTCTACATTTCCAGAGCATTGTGTGGTTGTGTTTACAGAGTACATTTGTATCTTTGCTCTCCCTTAGTCCTTTCCAATCATTCTGCCTCCTCCGGGGAGGAGACAAGTTCAGCGAGGTCATGCCGCCTGACCAAAGGCACAGCTAGTAAGTGGCTGAGCCAGGGTGAGCCTAGGACTGAGTGACTCGCGAGTGTGGTGCTTCTCTGCTTCTTGGCTCAGATGGGGGCCACCACCCACTTTCTGCCCTGTGTCCCCACATGTCCCCTTGGAGAAAATGTGAGAACAGGAAGGTCCGTTGTGTTCTTGGCATTGTGGCCATTCCTTTCCCCAGCCCTCCTCCCGTCTTTCTGGTGCGGGCTGAGTTGGCCATCGTGGGGTTTGTTAGCTCACAGAGGATCAGAGCCGGGAGGACCTCCGAGGCCAGCCTCTCGGAGACACGGGCTTATGACAAGAAGGTGACCAACCCAGAGTCACACAGCAAAATTAGGTGCCCGGTGTGGGCCTGTTAGTAAATGTCACCTTAGCTCACCTCTTGGGTATTTCCAGCATGTTGCTCTTGTCTTTATTTTTCTGATTGGCATATTCCTGGCACTCTGGGGGTAGGACCTCAGGAGATTTATTATAAACCTCATTTGTGCCCGTCTCTGGTTTTACGGCCTGGAGGGTTAGACACACGTCTTCTCTTTGCTGCGATGTCACTCTGACCCAGCCAGGTGCCCAAAGGCCAAGATGTGGCTCCAGTCTCGTGTTCCCTTCCTGGCCCCAGGTGGACTCACCAGGGAACCCTGGTTGGAACGTGGGACCCTCTGCGAGCACCCGTTCATCTGGCCTACACTACTGTCCCTCACTCTGTCTCCTTTCAGGGCCTCCGGCCCCCAGGTGCTCAGCTGTGCCCCATGCAGCCACGGGCGTTCTGGCTTGGGTCCCTTGTGTCTCTGGCCCCTGGATGCCTGCCTTGGCCCTTTTGCCCAGGGCAAAGCCCACCTCTCTAGACCATCTCTCTTGCTCTTCGTAGTCTGCTTTAGTCTTCCTCAGTGTTCCATGGCTTTCAGAGCTGGAGCCCGCAGGCCAGCATCTCCCCAACCCCCCCCCCCCGGGTCAGCTGCACCTCCCCCCTGCGGTGGGGACGGCTTTAAGGGCAGGGACCAAGCGGGCCTGTCCCGAGCACGGTGCGGAGTGTGAAGTGCGCGGCTGGCCCATGGAATGACTGTGGGCCACATTCTGAATGACCCGGGGGGTGGGGGGTGGCTTTAGCCAGGCATGGGGGCCTAGGACTCGTAAGCGCTCTGTCCCCAGGAGCACGGTCTTCGCTCTCTCGGCAGGATGCAACCTGAAGATCTTCAACAACCAGGAGTTTGCCGCCCTCCTGGCTCAGTCCGTCAACCAGGGCTTCGAGGCCGTCTACCAGCTGACACGGATGTGCACCATCCGCATGAGCTTCGTCAAAGGCTGGGGAGCAGAGTACAGGTCAGGTCGGGGGCACGCGTCACTGGGGCCTGACTGCTGGAGGCTCAGACTGCAGAGCAGGGGCTCCTCAGCGACGGGCTAGGCCAGCCCGCGCCCCAGAGAGCAGAGACCAAGGGTCAGAGGCCAGGGCCTGGCGGGCCAGGAGGGCCGGAGTCCCACCAGATAACGAGGAGCCGGGCAATGTGTGCCCAGTGCTGTGAACGCACATGTTCCGTTTCCTCTCACCACAACCCTGGGCGGGGACCCTGGCATCGCCCCCGGCGCACGGATGAGGGAATGAAGGCCCCGGCAGGGAAAGTGACTTGCCTGAAGTCACACCATTAGTGGGAAGGCGGAGCCTAGAGCCGTGCCTGGTGGCTGCTTCCTCACTGTTCCCTTTGGGCAGATGATTTTAGGACCACCCTTTCCAGTGAGTTAAGTCGTCATACCTCCTCTGGGGCTCCGTGTTTGACTTGAGGGACCCTGAGAATCGAGGGTACTAAAATTGAGAAGCAGATAGGAGAAGAGAAGATGTGGGGAGTCAGTAGGGAACACAGTTTACTCGCTCAGAAAAGAAATGATGTTTTTCTTTTCCAGAATTTCAGATATTGCTTTAAACAAGGCTCTGGTCGGGTCTACCTGATCTGCTCTGTTGAATCTGTCAGACCGTTCTGGTTGGGGTGTAGAGATCCCCACCCCTTTCCTTTCCACACCTAGACAGGAGCGTGCGAGGGCCAGGGCTGGGCACCCCCCAAGCCCTGCCCAGCCCCCCGCTTCCCCAGCAGATGCAGAGGTGCCCGCACGTCAGCTGGGGCCAGCGCCTTGCAAGTGACTCCCCCCGCCCCCCCCCGTCTCTTCATTTTTCCAGATGTTTGGAATCCATTTTGTTTTGTAGTCATTCTGCACCCAGGCCAAACCCATTTCAATATTGGCTCTGGGCCACTGTTTATAATGAAATCCAGATGAGCATGACTTATGGAAAGTCAGATCCTCATTAGAGGATGTCAGTCCATAAAATCCGCTTCTATTTACCGTATTTTAGCTGCTGCTGCCGCCTGTGTCTGCCCTACCGTGCCAGGGAGCACCTTGGCCTGTGGGGTCTCTGGGTAAACCCTGGATGAGTGACCACCTGAATAGCCACAGTGGTCAGGCCTCTGGGCAGCGCTTACAGCCCGGTTATAGGGCCGGAGGAGAGTAGCTGAGGCCGGCCCAAAGGGAGAGTTTAGCCCATCTTTTAGCCCTGGCTGAAAGCATTCATGCAACAAGAACGAAGGGTTATAAAATGAATATATTTTTCTAGTGGGAGAGGGAGATACTTAGGACCACCCCCAGTGCAAGAGAGCCAGAGTGGGAGGGGGGGTCCTTTCGCTCCTTTCGACACCCACACTTGTGTCTGGAGAACCGCACTCAGGCACCACAGGTCAGAGAGGCGCCCCTGCACCCACCGGACCCTCTCTCCACCTCTACCCCGGTGCAGCGTCGGCCGGGCAAGGAGGGTTGTGGCCTCAGGTGAGCAGCCGTCCACCTGGCGCGGCACCACAGCCCTCGGGCCCCGAGTGCGCTGAAGAGGCCCCTTGGTGACGGAGGAAGCCTTTCCCGGGGGGCACGGTGTCACCGTGCGGGGCGTACAGCCAGCACCCCTGGTCCTGTGCGGCCTTCCGCATCACCACCACCTGGCAGCCCTGCGGAGCAGCCTGACGGGCGGGTGCGGCCCCTTCCCAGAACAGTCTTGCCCTCCTCCTGCCTCTCGGGCCAAAGAGAGTAAGGTTTCATCCATCCTGTGAGATGACCGAAAGCAGGCAGGGCCCAGGGCCCAGGCCTCTCCCTTCCAGCAGGCACCGGCACCTCCGGCCTCAGCAAGATAGCTGTGCTCGCTGGAGGCCTTTGGGAGCTCGCCTGCCGGCTGCGTCATCAATCGGCCTGCATTTAGACAAAGTGGTTTGGGGAAAAGAAACGTGTGGTGTGCCTTGGTTTTTTCCAGTAATTGTTCCATGGCTCGCTCTGCCTGTAAGATTTTCCAAAATAAGGCCCTAGATGGGAATTATTTCAGCACATTGGGAACTGATGGCATGTGGACCCTGTCGGCACTTTGCAAAAAACACCCCTCAGTCAGACAGACCCACGTCATCAGGGCCTGCTGGCCCGGGGGGTGCCCATTCAGGGCGGATGGGACTGAGGGAGACCTCTGCTCAGGCTGGAAGTTCTTCACTGGGTGGCTGACACAGGAACAGGTGGGCACGTGCAATACCCTGGAATCTGTCTTATCCGTTTAACCCTTGAAGGGCTACGTCCTTTCCCAGCAAGAGAACCCGATTTACTCAAGGCCCTTCCTGGCTGGGGAAGTTTGGCCTGGCAGTCCCAGCAAGTTAGTGGGGTCTCCTCTAGGGCAGAGCCTAGCAAGGAGCCTTGGACACCTCTCTGGCTTTGGGAGGAAGACTCTCCCGAAAGCAGGAAAAGGTGTTTTGACTTGGATGTGTGGCGTTCTGGACATTTTTGAAGTCTCCCACCTCCCCTCCTTTCCCTATGTCTTGCAGGAGACAGACAGTGACCAGCACCCCCTGCTGGATCGAGCTGCACCTGAATGGGCCTTTGCAGTGGCTCGACAAGGTTCTCACCCAGATGGGCTCCCCAAGCATCCGCTGTTCCAGTGTGTCTTAGAGACACTGGGTGTGAAGGGGGAGAGTGGGGGGAGGGCGGGCTTGGGCGAGAAGGGCCGTGTAGGACATGGAGAAAATTGGAACTCCACTCACTATCGTCAATGAAGAAGAAGTTTTTCTCCCTCGATCAAGGCGGCACCAACCTGTTTCCCAAAAACACAAAAGCGAACCCAGAGGTGGATTTTGTGAACCGCTGTGTCTGCTGAACACATTTGCCCTTTGGCCCCAGTTTGGAGGGCGAGAAACGGCTTCTGCTCTGGTGGCTTGAGCAAACAGGTAGTGTTCCACCACCTGTCCCCTCCTCCCAGCCTCCTTCTGTTTTAATGCCCGCAATCCAGGATGCACTGTCCGACAGGAAATGGTCCTCGGTTCCGGACTGGAGTGGGAAACTCACCTCGGGTGTTCTAGGTAGGGTAGAGGCTTCAGAGGTGCGAGCAACCCTCACGCCTAGTCCTCTGGCGCTTTTAACAAAGGCTTCAACTGAGCCTTCCTGAGCCCCAGCGCTCTGGCAGACCCTGCACCCCGGGAGCCGGACTGACTTGGGGTGGGGTGCGCGTCTGTCTCCTCCCCGAGCAGGCGGACACGTGTGAGCCAGTGGGTTCTGAGCAGGCCCACGGGGACGGTGGGGAAAGCTGCTGAGACCCCTCGTCTCTGCAGTTGGTCCTTTGTCACTCTGAGCGGCCGGGAGCTCTGCCGAGGCTCAGCGCTTCTGCCACGTCTAGTTCATCCTCTGGCGTTAACCTCAGCGATGGGAGGTACGTGAGGTGCTCACACGAGGCAGGCGGCGGCCGTCGCATCGCGGGTTTGAGAGCGGGTCTCCGGTCCTCTGTAGGCACTCGCTTGCTCTTCTTATGCATCGGCCTTCTCGGTTTACCTAGTCAGTTGCATTAATTAAATGAGCTTTACTGTATGCTCGTTTAAATGTTTATTTTATATTTAAAAAAAAAAAAAAAAAAAACCTCCTGGGTTGGCGCACTGACTGGGAAACCAGCGTGGGGCCCGGCCACCTCTCTCTGAAGGTGAAGCTGTTCCAGGTTTTGTTGAGAAGACACCTGCCAGGAGCACTTTTGAAAACTGAAATTAACAGCAGCAAATCCAGCAGAAGGGAAAAATCTCAGGCCAACACAGGCAAATGAAAAGGGCTATTAATTTTTTTTTTTTTTTTTACACCTTTGGAAATCACAGGCGCGGTGCAGGGAGGGCCGCCACCCTCCCCCTGGGATATAAGATTATCCAGCTCCCGGGAGGGGTCATCAGTGACTCTAGCAGCTATGTTGTAGAAGTACTGTTCCCAGTGGCAATTAGTGAGAAAACCATTATAAATGATCGCAACTGGAAAAAAAAAAAAAAAAAAAGCCCTCCTTTTCTACTGGCCTTTTGCAGAATCCAGCAGACAGAATTGCCACTTGCATTGGTACTTTATTCCTTGTTGCTGTTTTTTGTATGAAATGACTTGTCCCGTGTTTTTGCGTGGATTTCTAGCAGGAAAAGTGAAGGGATTTCCTATGGAAGTCCTGTCTTCTTCCAGGTGAAGGGGAGGAAGTATACCCTTCTGGCAGGTATAAACCTCAAATGTGATGCCATTTCTGATGCCTTACGATGTTGGGGGCTTCCTGGTGCCTCCCCGGCAGGATCCTAATGCCTCTGCAGCTCTACCCTGATGGCTTCCAGCTAGGACAGCTGCCGCCCAGGCTCCCCAAGGACACAGGAAGAGACGGGAGGAGCACCTTGCCAGACCTACGCTTGTCTTTTCCTGGGGCCAGTGACACAGAACCCAGAGACCACCAAACCCCTCTCGCCCTGAGAGGGTCACATACGGCAGGTCCGAGGGTTGCCTGCTGTGAACTGATCTGCGGACTGCTGCTTCCAGGAAGCCCTCTGAACCTCCTGCACGTGTCAGGTCTGAGACTCGTGATGTGGAATATCCCGTTTGGCCTCTGCTGGCGCCATCGTCGTGCCCTTCCTAAAAGCCAAGGCGGCAGTTTCCGAGGGCCCGCGTTCTCCACCAGCTCCGTGATCCTCGGAGGCCCTCCGACGGCGCGCAGCCAACCCTCCCGTCACTTGGGAACTGGCACAGCCTTGGCGCCCCTGCTCGGAGGGGGTCTTAGCACCCTGGTTGCTCAGAGCCGAAGGCTACTTCGAGGAGGCATGGAGTTTTAGTTTTGTGTTTCTCCAAAAGCTCACTTGGCCCCCCCCTTCTTTATAGACTGCTCCTTGCAGGAGGATGTGAGAGGAAAAGGTAGGTAAGTCCCCCTCTGGAAGACAGTCAGTCCTATCTAGAGGGGAGGACCCTTCCCGTCACGGAGGCTGCCTAGGTGCTTTGGGCTCGTGTAATATTAGTGTCCTTTCTTTAAGTCACAAAGCTTGTTTTCTAAGTTTGAAAAACCCATGGTCTGAATGGCATTTACATCTTAAAATCTTTTTTAAGGACAGTTGAAGAAGGGGGGGGGGCGGGTGGAGCGAGAGAAAACAGGGCAGTCGAGCAGGGTGGAGGGCAGTTTTAAGCGTAGCTAACTGGGCTCTCCGCCAAGTTGTCTTCACCTTCTGGCTCGTGCTGCCACTGACCCGAGCCGCCAGCGCTGCGGCGGAGACCCTTGGCTGTGCCCCTAACCCCGGAGCCAACGTCCGTTCTCGTCCCTTTCCTCCCCCACCCGCCTTCCGAACGTTATTTAGTACCTTCGGTCCTTCCCGCACAAGCAAACGTAGGTAGCTGCCCCAGCGGGTTCGGGTTACAGGCTTGTGCTGGGACATCATCTCAGTTGGCCACCCTCCTGGCAGGCGGGAGCCGACCTGACATTTTGAGGCGAGCCTCGAGTCGGGAGCGGGGACTGGGACGCTTAGTAAGCGCACACGTGAGGGCAAGGCTGCTGGCGGGCTTTCCCGGCGTCCTGATGTTGTCTGTGTTGTATTTTTTTTATTATTGACCGTGGTGGTTATTTTTTTTAAAATCATTAATGTATTGGAATGAGCTGTAGCACATGCTTTGTGCTTAGTTGTTTTTCCTCCATCCTCCCTTGGCTTCCTAGTGCCTGGACGTATTCCAGGGCTAAGTGCTTTTACTCAGACTGCAGTACAGGCTTTCTTTAGGTAGCATGTGCGTGTCCTGTGTGCACGTATGTAGTCTGGGAAGAAGGCAGTTAGCCCCAAAGCTGCCCTTTCTGGGGCTCCGGGAAGGTCTCTGCAGGGCCAGCTTTCACCTCAGGCCGCTCTCTGAAGTCCTTCAAAGGAGAGAGAGGAAAAGGAATCGGGGGACTGTTTCCAAGGGGGTTACCAGTAGCAAGAGCGGGCATGAGTTTCGTTCTGGACTCTGAGTGTGGGACTTTAAGTGGCAGAGGTGGGAGCTCCCCCCCCAAATTTACACGTGTCTTCACTTTACTAGAAGAAAATGTCAACACGGCTGCGGTGGACCATTCTTTGTGTGTCATGAATGTTCCCTTCTAGATCATCCTTTTGAGGAGTTTCTACTACTTCTCAAGAGGGTGGGAAAGCAAGGAAGGACACACGAACATATGGTTCCCACCTGAAGAGGTGGCGTCTCGGAGGAGGGGGGTGCAGTCAGTGGGGAAGTGACTTTTCAGAAACACAGCTACCACATAAACTCGCCTATAGTGTAAACTGGATTGAGCAAGGCTCTCAGTGATTCTGTAATTGATTTTTTTTTTTTTATGCTGAAGTAATGTATACTCTAGCATTCTGGTGTTTTTATATTTATGTAATGATTTCTTAAAGCCATTCAAGACAGAACTATTTAATTTTTTGAAGAAAGTTGGAAAGGTCTCTCCTCCCAAGGACGGGGGCCTGGGGTCCAGAACCCCCTCCCCCCCCACCCCCCAGGCTGGCTACAGGCGAGGTAGCGCTCCAGAAGTCCCCTCCAGGCCCTTCCCCGGGGGGGCCTCTGAACCAAGCCCCTCGCCTTTCTGGCCCGAGAGAACTCGATGCAGAGGGTGGAGCCAGGGGCCCCTCCCTCCCCTTCACTCACCCTCCCTGCTGCTGTCCGGATGACGCTGTTCTGGACTCTGGTGGCGTGTGTCTGAGTGGGGGGAGCAGAACATGAAGGATGTGATTACCTTCACTTCTCAGCCAGCCTGACCTTTTAATACCTTTGTAAAAAGCATGTACGTATTTATAGTGTTTTAGATTTTTCTAACTTTTGTATCTTAAGAGCAGAGCACCTGTTTAAGCATTGTACCCTATTGTTAAAGATCTGTGTCCTCTCTCTTTCCCCTGTAAGTGCCCTTCTAATAAACTTTGCATTGAAAAGCTCCCAGGCCCGGAGCTCTGTCTCATTCTTTGCTGGGTGGGGAAACGATTTTAAAGGAACCCAGCGACTTCAGCAATGGCTCCAGCCCCCATTCTCTCTGCCAGAGCCTCTCCTGCTCCCCAGTGGCCCTCCTCCACTCACCGAGGTGACGTGCGGGGCCTCTCCCTCGCCATCCACACCTAGGCAACACAGTCTGGTCTCTGCGTTGGCACTGGGCACTCCCTTCCTCTGCACTTGAAGGCCTGGATGCCACCAGCTGAATCCTCCCCCAGGCACGGAGGTAGTTTTAGGTTCATAAAGAAGGTTTTCACACCCTCCAGCTCTGAGAACTCTATCAGCGCCTGTGAAAATGCATTTTAAATTCAAAACTCCCAAGGAGAGACTTGCTGGACTCTTCCGCTGACCCTGAATGACACGGATCAAGACTAACATGAACACTTTGGGGGGGATGGCATGGGGTTAGAGTACTCCTTTAGCCGGGCCACTTCTCCAGCATCTCCTTTCTAAGGAACTCGCCACAGCCCTCTCCTACCAGGAGACAGGCCCATTTCACAGGAGCGGCACCTCTGGGCCTAGAGATTGGGCTCCCACGAACCGCATCAGTTCCTACCTTCGAAATTCCTAGTCCTACGCTCCTGCCCATCTTCCCCAGCAAATGACTCCAATCCTCACCTCTGACCCAACCTGTTCCTAGCAAATGGGCTCCGAACCACAACGGCCCCCACCGGAAGCCCCTTCCACCTCCCTCGAGCTGGCGCCCTTTGCTGACTCCCAGATTTTAGCAGCAGCAGCTCCCTGGGTCCCTCTGCCACCTTCGCCAAGTCCTGAGCGGCCTGCTGCATGGCCCCCGTGCTCTTCAGCCCCCCCTTGACCAGGCCGCCCTTTTGTGAAGGCCCTACTGCCCCACGTCCTGGCTCTCCGCGGCCCTCTCGCACCACCTCTGCTCTTTCTTGGGCCTGCGCCTACTTCTTCCGGGTCGGTGTTCCCAGACCACTGGATGCACTCTTGACATTCCTTCCTGAGTGACCTCATCTCCCCACATGATTTCAAGCCACTTTAACGCTAATGACTCCCAAATCCGTATTTATAGCCCAGACATCAATCCCAGGCTTCGGCCTTGTATCCAACAGGCTGCAGGCTACTGGCCGCTCACCGCCGTCATGACACGGCCCCCAGCGCCAGAAGCCCCAATCCCCCTGCATGCCTCGCAGCCCTGTTTGGCCATGCTCCCTGCCCCATACGGGACGCCCTCAGCACCCGGACAACCGCACCAGCTTCCCAACAGCTCCTGGCCTCTGCCTGCCTTCCCGGAAATGCATCTTCTACACGTGGCCCTGTGCCCTACATGACCTTGGCCCACTAGTCCACAGCGCAGATTCTGAAGCCTTTATCAATGGGCCACCAGACTCCTGTCACTCGGCCCCTACCCAGCTGTCACAGCTCGCTGGTACAGTCGGCAGCCCAGGGACAGACGGGTAGTGGTCCTTACACAGCACGCTCCTCTCCATGACGACAAGCCCTCTTCCCAAGTCTGCGCTCCCTGCCCCTGCCTCACACACCAGCAGGTCACCTGGAGAACTTTCACGAATGTGGAGGCTCAGGTCAGACACGTCCTCCAGGAAGCCTTTCGCGGGTCCATCGCCAGTCTTCCCAGCCGTGTGGTAACTGTGTGTGTCCTCCCCTCTAGGCTCTGAGTTCCTTGAAGGCAGCATTTACATCTTCTTATATCACTCCCTCCTTTGGGCCACCAAGTTTTGCTAAATAAATGAATCGATCAGTGCCCACAGCTAGCAGATTCTACCTGGGCAGTCTTTAACATCTACGTCCACTGTGTCATAGCAAGTTGTTACCTATGGTTGAAGAAGTGCCACCAAAATGCAGTTCCTAATTACGTTTGATCACAGCTCTTCAAACATCTCCCTGACCTGTGCCCCCCTCGTCCGGGAAGGGCAGCTACACAGCAGAATTACCACCATTCTGTTTCTCCACCCACAGCAAACACCACTCATCAGAGCGCCGGGTCCACTCGGCCTCAGAATCCTTCCCAGCACAGCTCTCCAGGCAGGTAGTGCTAATCAATTCGCTGTGGCTAAGGCCGCTGCCACATTCCCCAGGAGTGCAACTGCGGTTACAGGTCTTTTCCGTGCTAAACCCCTTGGGCTCCTTGATTACCTCCCAAGAGGCACTGGTCCCACCCCCCACAAAGCAGTATTTCAAGGTTTTCTCCAACTTCACTCCAGCCTTATACACCCCGTTCTTCTCACTGCACCGTGCGGGTTTTCCCAGCATAACCCCTTGCTTTCTCTCCGTACCTCTGTTCATGGTGCAACTTCCACTAAGAATTTGCTGCCTCCCCTCACGCCTCTGCCCCCCGTTCTACCCTAGCCCCTAGCTCGATCGGAGGACCACTTCCTCTAGTCCATGGGTCTCCAAGTGTGGGCCTGGCCTGCAGCCTCAGTACTGCACGGGACAGTCGAAATACACTCCCCTGGGCCCGGCTCGGGAATTACCGGACCGGAAACTCTGGCCTGGGGCCCTGCGGGGGACTCGGCGTGGGCTCACGTCTGAAAACAATGGCTGCTCTCCCCAGCCCGCGCTGCCCTCTCCTTCCCACGGCAACGGAGCCTGGTCACACCACCTGACACGCTGCGCAGCACCCCAGCTTTCCCGGCCTGGTCGTGCTGGCCCCCCGCCATCGCCTGGCCTGGATGAGGAGCTCCCAGAGAAAACCCGCATCCCCCCCCGAGGCTGTGGCCTCTGCCACACGCGGCACAGCCTGGCACCGAGAAGGTGCCCAATCAGTGCCGGACCCTGAATCCTGTTTCGGCTCTTACCTGGTAAAGGAACAGGGGACGGCTGCTTTTCCTCAACCCTCTACTCTGAAGCTTTCTGACTTCGCCACTGACGACATCCTGAGTTTCCCAGAGCAGCTGGAGTGTCGCAGACCATGTCCCCGGGCTTCAGATGAAGAGGGCGTTCTCTCTCCTAAACTGTGCCGTTGCCATAAAGTTCCCACCCCAGGCCTCACTTAGCCCATGTTTTGTAGCACTCAAGCCACCGGGTTGATCAGTGAAAAGGGAGAGGCAAGGATGAACTGCTTTAGGTGACATGTTTCTGCCGCCCACGTTTGTGCTTGTGGGGAGAGAGGGTTTGAGCCTATCAACAGATATAAAAGGGGTTTAGAGGAAAAATCTTTTCTCTTCCCAAACTGCTGTTCCAAAGGCTCAGTAACAGCTTCTAGGTCCAAGTTCTGAATCCATACTTCTCCCACAGGAAACAAGGTAGAACCACAAATCATTAAAAGCTGGAACGGGGCTCAGGAACGCTCCAAAGGGCCCACGCTGTTGCCGTTGCCTCCTGTCACTTCCTCACTCTGCACCCGGACAAACGCCTCGGAACAGAGCAAGACTCTTCCTGTTCCGGAAGCACTTGGCTCTAGTGCTCCCACCACACACGCTTACCTTGGAAGAGGGACGTGTGCGTTAAGAGCAAGACTCATAATGTTTATGACATGCTAGGTGGTGCCAAAAATACGCAACTGAGAATTTCTATGACCTTTTCCGCAACTTCCACGGTCTGCTTAAGTGCCAGACGCAAGGACGGAGCGCTACCTGAAACCCCGAGTGGAATCTACGTCAAGACGTGCACTCTGCACACTCAGCCCGCTGCTTGCTTTTACGAGACCTACAGACGCCGGGAGAGCTGATCGGTCGGGTGTTTCCCAACCGATCCTGCAGGAAGGTGCTACGCTTGACCACACTTTTCACCTCCTCTGCCTAGAGTCCTCCGATGAGATTTGGTGTTTAATGACGGAATGCCATACCTAAACTGTCTGACTGCTTTAACATTTGGGGTGGGCGGGGGGGGGGGGAAGGATGACTTGAACTCATTACAGAAGTCTCTGCAACTCTGTCTCTGTCAATCAGGACGTTCAATGAATCAGAACCTCTGACCAGGCTAGACACATGTTTGCTAAATTTAGCTTTGCATCAGCAAGCGATCGGAATAGCTCACGGAGCTCTCATCTTACCCTTAGACACTGATTCTTCTAAGGCTGCTTTTCGGGGGCAGGCTGGTGCAGGGCAAGGGGCACTCAGCTTGCTCTCTGGATGGCCATTGTTAAGGGACCGGCCTAAGGTAAGGGAGGCTGGTCAGCCACAGCGAACATGTTTATCTCCGCCTCTCCACCGTGGGACCAGGAGGTCAGCCATAGCTCACATTTCACACGTTACAAGTAGTTTGCAGTAACGGCCTGACATGCTCGATGGTCCTTGAACCACATCCCATATTACTCAGCTGTCCAAGTCTAGCGTCCCTGAATCTCTAGCTTCTCTGAATTAGATGTGGCCAAATGTTATAAATAGAGAGAGCAAACTGGTTCTGTCAATCTTCTCATGCTCTGGCAGGATAACATATTTCAAAATTATAAAAATATCTATGTCTTCATCACTCTAAAATTATTACATAACACATGATTTTCGCAGGGGGAGCGAGAAAGTTTATTTCTGTCTATCCCTACCTTCCAACACTCATGGACCTTCAAATGTTGTGATCATATTCAGCACGCTAGCAAATGCAAATCCAAACCAAAATCAAGGGCCTCCTCTGCGCCCAAGTCTGTGTCACCCAAATAGAGAAATGTTGGAGGGAAAAAAAAGCCGAGTCTCTCACTTTAAATCCCAGACAGACAGTCCATAGTAGCTGGCGCTGGCACATACACAGCTCACGTGAGACAGACTGCAACTTCTTCTGCACAATTAGCTCACAATCACTTTTTTTTTAATGTTTATTTTTGAGAGAGAGCGCGCGAGCAGGGGAGAGGCAGAGAGAGAGGGAGACACAGAATCTGAAGCAGGCTCCAGGCTCTGAGCTGTCAGCACAGAGCCCGACGCAGGGCTTGAGCTCACGAACCATGAGAATATGACCTGAGCCGAAGTTGGACGTTTAACCGACTAAGCCGCCCAGGCGCCCCAGTTCATGATCACTGTCAATCTTTATGCAATCACTGCATCTCTTTATCCCCCTGTGCCCTGGCAGGGGCCAACAGCCCCCGAAAGCTGAGGTCTCAAGGTGAGGTGATATTACACATATGCGATGTAGATTCCACGTACCTGTGAGTCTGGCAAACTCATCGATTATTCACTATTTATGCCCCATGTGAAGTGAGGCTTCCCCCATCATATTTCCTACTAAGAAAACAAAACCATGATACACATTAGCAGACTTTATAAATAAATGATATTTTAATCACCTGGCTTCGTTTAATCCACAAAATCACTTTCACGGCTTTTTCAAGTCCGTCTTCCCTAACCATGTCACCTGATGTATTTTCTGGAACCCTCCGTGTTTTAAAAAAAAACATTCTGCCTTTCATTGTGCAACCCCAGAGCCAACTTCCCTTACATTCTTAGTGGCTAATGCAGTCACATCAAAGAAACAATGATGGAATAAGGATCAACTAGAGTCTCAAAGACCTTCGGAATAGTTTAAAAAAAAAAAGAGAGGAGGAGGAGGAGGAGGAGGAGGAGGAGGAGGAAAAACAAGTCACCAAGCAAGGTAAGTGCCAGTGTTGCCGGTCACGGCCCTTCCCTGACCGCTCCCGTCACCGAACCTTCCCCCCTCCGTGGCTGCCCCGGCCCGGAACTGGAGCACTCCACTCCTGCTGCCACTCCTTCACGCGGTGCGCAGAGGGGTCGGAGACTTGTTTCCGCTGGCGACCTAAGGAGTTCACGGTGCACACGAGGCCAGAGGCGGCTCTCGGCCTGCGTGCCGGCACGACCCCGCCCCAGTCCAGAGCCACGGCAGGGACCGCGGCAGTGCAGGCTGGTGGCGTGCATTACAAAGTGTCTACAAAACCAGAAATGGGAATATTTACCGTACTGCCCACTCTTCCTTTGGAGACGATCCCTTTGGGGAGCGGCGCCCCTAGGGCTGGCCCCCTCAGGCCTGCAGTTAACACCAGGTCCTCAGGTATTGGTTGCCTGGCCTTTCACATCCTTTCTCGTCCCGCCCACCCCTCGGTGTCACTATTTTGGCAGTGACCTATTTGGTTCCCAGAGAGAAGGAGGGGAACCGCCCTGTTTTCTGACGTCTTAAGAGCTCTAAGGAAGAAGAGCTTCTTCATGGTTACACTAGTGCGAAAGCTCCGTATGCTGTTTCGCTGGCCCGGATACGGAATTCCTTAAGTTTCTTCCTCTCACCTCCCCCACCCCACTCACCTCCCTGCCTCCCCCAACCAAAGCGACTTGGAGATGGGTTTGCTTTGCCTCATCTGTTACAGTCTAAGAATTCGCCCTGGTTCTTCCACAGCTTCTAGCATGAGCCAGGACACTCTATTACCAACAAAATGCCCAGCAGCAGTTTTCAGCTAGAGACCAAGCTGAGGGCCCCGGACTCTGCCCCCACCTATACGCTATGGCACACATGGAACCTGCGGCAGCTTCCTCGCCTCCCGTCAAAAGCAACACAGCTCAGGGCAGGAAGCTCCCCGAAAGCAGACAATCCAGAAGCTCATGGAAAAGGGGCACCAGCTCCTGATGTGCAGTGATCGAGTGTGGCCACAGGGGACGGCACAGAAAAGGTGGCCTGGGAATGGAGTGGCGGCCTCCTTCTCCAACCTGGGCCAATCACAGGTGCCTCGGGGCCTCGTCTCACTCCTGTTCCTAGAAAAAGCGTATTTCAAAACTTCTCACTCCTCACTTGCCTAAAATCTATGGAGAGAGGACACCCCTACTCTCCGCTACTAAAAACTAAAATTAAGGAGACCTAGAACTAAGTCAGGTGGCCAACGCAACGATGGGAAGTTCGGCAGAACGGAACTGGGCGGGGCAGGGAAGGCTCTCAGGCAGTGATGCCCTAGCACAAATGATTTAGTGCTCTTCATCAGATGAAAGGCCTTCAATTTCATCTCTGTCTCCCCCAATTGCCATCCAGAAGGCTTTGGCCACCTGTGGAGAGAAGCAGGCAACGCGTTTTAGGCAACAGCTACATTTCACCTTGTATCATGCGTCAGTCAATATGCTGAACTGATCAAGACCTAAAATGCTATCCTTGCCCCCCCGCCCTCCAGCAACATGTATGGAAACCCTTGAATACCCTGCCCAGGACTTTTCGACTTCTAGAAATGCATACTAAGGATAAAATCAGAGTTACATACAAAGGTGAAGGGTGTGTAAGGTTATACACAGCTTCACCATTTACAGAAGCAAAAAATGCACATGGCTGCCACATCCAAAAGGGAAATGGATAAATCAGGACACATTCATACAATGAAATACCATAAACCACATACGTTTCCTGCCAAGAGCATGCGTTGCGTTGGTAATAACAAAACAAAACAAAACAGCTAGGAGTTTTCCAGCCCAACAGTTAGGAAGGCAAACATCCGGAGTCTCAATGAAAGTCCCATGCCACTCAACATACGTTTGAAAAACTCTGGTTTGACTACAGCAATTATATTATGACAGCGTAAACATTCAATGTGTTCCAAGTTAACATCCAATGAAAAGTTCACACTAAGTAAAACACAGAAGTCAACAAGGGTGGTGCATAACAACAGCACCGGACCTTTTATAGATAATAAATACCTGATTGTCTCACCTTTTCCGCATGCAACTTTCTTTGCTCGTGAGGAAGCGTCGCCGCCTTGTCTAGGGGGAAAATATATCTTAAGAAATTCATACAAAAGCACAGGAGAGTCTGGAGTGTACGGATGCTCTAACACTAGAAGATGGGAGGTGGGATTCAAAGACAAATGCTTATGGCGTAGTCATTACGGCTGTGAGGGACTTTAAGTCTTCCCGATTTTCCAGATGGGGGTGATGTGAGTAAACTGGCAGGGAGCTTACGGATTCCAGGTTAATGAGACACACTGAAAGAAACCGAGAGAGGCAAGAGAAGAAGGGCAAGTAAGAGGAAAGAGAGTGAAGAAAGAGGAAACTTTTCCCCGGGGAGTTTCTACCAACAGAAGATGACATGGGCCCCCAAGAGCCAAGGCTCTCCAAACGGCTGAGACCAGAGCATGGAACCCAATCAGCGGTTACCAAACAAAATCCTACCGTATAAAACAGAGGAGCACCGTGATGGGAACGTGGCAGACACCACAAATCCAATTACCTTTCATTTCCTTTAACTTTGAAAATAGTCTCTCAAAGTTCTCCAAATCTCCTCCGCCAGTGGTAAGACTGGCTAATTCTTGAATATCCAGATCTAACATGGGATCTGAAAAAAGGATTTGTCACATTAGTTGCCATGTATCACTTACGTATGTGCTAACTACGCACATAAGGCAATCAGTCCTAGCTTTGATGGGGTCATCCCCGGATGAGCAGCCCACGGGCCCCAGCTTTTCTGCTTACGGGGTTTCTGCCTGCCTGGCTGCTCGCGGGCCTTCGCGAATGAGGAATAGCACATTCTAGCCTTACAGCATTACACTGAGGCAGAGAATACGGCTTCATTTTAGAGATGAGAAAACTAGAGCTCTGAGGTGAAGTGACTGGCTCCAAGGTCACAGCTAGTGTGAGCTCGGATTCAGACTTAGGTGTTTCCAACTCTAAAGGCCGCACTCTCCACTGAGGTGCACTGATCAACAGGAAGCGTCTGGAACGTATGCTGTATCTTCCTGTACAACAAATATTTCCGCATCTATTACTGACAACCACCATATCAGGTGCTCAGGACAGACCTCAATGTCTGCAATTTACACAGGGAGAAAGCTAGGAGAAAACGAACTCGTGTGAAATTACAGTGGTAGAGCCAAATCCTAACTATTACTACAAAGCCTTTATGGTTTCCACCACAGCCTGTTACCTCTTCATCAAAATTTATTTTTAATCAGAGTTCTTCCTCATTTTCCACTCCAGGCCAACCACATCTACGATGTCTTCCCTAGCCATCCCTAGATCACAAGTCTCCTTCCCTAGATTTCATTTCACACTTAGTGTTTCGAGAACTGCCTTGACACTGGCATACGCTACTTTGTATTCTGACCTCTCCCCATCACTACTGAAATACCACTATGGTGCGGGAGAGAGGACACCTTGTGTCTACATCACTGAGTGCCTTAATTTATGTAATTCCCTTTCATTTTTGCAACAGCACTGTTAGGAAGAATTTTCTTTTACAGAAGGGGAAACCGAGGCCCATGGAGGCTAAACAAGTTACTCTAGGTCACCTCACCACTACTGACAGAGCCATGATTGGAAGCCAGCTGCCCAGGGCCCCAAGCCCATGACTTTAAGCATCATATTGCAAGGCTTGTCTCTACACTTTTAGGCTGTCAGCTGCTTGCAGACAAGGACACCTGCTAAGTCTTTACATCGACTACAGTGCCATATAGAGAATGTGGTGTTAAAAATGCAATTTGTTTAATAAATTTGCCCTGGACAAATTCCAGCAGACTTTTCATGTGGGCAGTTGACACACGGGGCTGGAGATAACAATCTGGGATTTATCTGTGTACGCGTGGTAACCAAGCATGGTCAGAACCACTTCACGCTTAAATACAGATCTGGCAGAGGAGTTGAGATAAGTGCTGAGGGGCGGCGGTGCGTGAAGGCTGGTAAAGGAGGGTCATCTATGAGAGAAAGACAAGGAATAACCAGAGAAATGGGAAGGAAACCAGGAAATGTGTGGGGTGAGCCAGAAAAAATGTTTCAAAAGGGAACCGATCCACAATACTGAAGATGCCAAGAGGTTAAGATGAGGTCTGGAGAATTCTACTAAAGTTAGTGGCACGGAGGTCGCTGGTGAGCTTTTTCAGCGGCAAATGGGGGCCAGAGCTGAAGAGGTGAGGTAGGTGAGGAATGGAAAGAAGTTCAGTAAAGAGAGGAGGGAGCCGCGGGGCTGACAGGTGTTCTACCTTTGTTGGTTTGGTTTTGCCTTTTTTTCCTTTACTTTTGAAATAATTTCACTAATACCAAAAAGCTGCAAAAATAGTAAGTTCTGTCTTCCTCCCCCAGCATTAACATCATCTATCACTGAAGGACAATTATGGATGTCAAGGAGTTCCTAACGGTAAAGTACTATTAACTACAGACTTCATTCAAACCTTGTCAGTTTTCCCACTAATTTCCTGTTCCAGGATCTTACACAGAATTCAGCTGTCAGATCTCTTTAAGTCTTCTTCAAAGTGTGACAGTTCCTTTAGACTTTTGTCATCTTTCATGACTTTGATACTTTTGAAGAGTACTCATCAGTTATTTTGTGCAATGTCCCTCAATTTGGGTTTGTCTGATGTTTTATTAGACTGAGGCTATTTTAGCATGAAGACCACAAAAGTGATGTGCTCTTTCAGTGCCTCCTATCCGGGGCAGGTATGTCAGTGTGTCTTCTTACTGGTGAGGGTAAAAGTGGTATCCGCTGGGTTTCTCCAGCGGGAAGTTAACTATTATCCTCTTTGTAATAAATAAATATCTTGGGAAAGATACTGTGGAATATGCAAGTGTCCTGTCTTTTCTCAAACTTTCATCTACTAAGTTTAATGTTCATCAGTGGCTCTTGGCCACAACAACTATTATTACTGTGGTGTGTGACTGATATGATTTTTCTTTCCTTCTTTCCTTCTATATTTATCAGAATTCTTCCGTAAGGAAGAACTGCCCTTTCTTCCCTGGTTATTTCTTTGTTCAGTTATTTCCTTTACTAGTATGGATTCAGAGATATTTATTCTATGGATTACAGCCCAATACTAAATTCATTAAAAAAAATTTTTTTTTGATGTTTGCTTATTGAGAGAGAGAGACAGAGCATGAGTCGGGGAGGGGCAGAGAGAGAGGGAGACACAGAATCTGAAACAGGCTCCAGGCTCTGAGCCGTCAGCACAGAGCCCAACGTGGGACTCGAACCCATGAACCGTGAGATCATGACCTGAGCTGAAGTCGGGCACTTAACGGACTGAGCCCCCAGGGCGCCCCTACTAAATTCTTATTTGCTGTTCAAATTGTTCCAGGAAGCTCTTTCAGGTTGATTCCAGTGCCCTTTCAACATGTTCCCTTTTTTTTCCTCCCCTGAGTACCTCCTTAGGTTCTGGCTCCACGAGATGGCTCTAGGTTCATCCTGCATTTTTCCTGTCCCCAACCCTGGAATCAATCCAAGTGACTCTGGATCCTTTTGTTGGAGGATGGTATTTAAAAACCAAGATCTAAATGCTAGGGTGTTGAGGCGCCTGGGTGGCTCAGTCAGTTGAGCATTCGACTTCAGCTCAGGTCACGACCTCGCATTTTGTGAGTTCAAGCCCCATGTCGGGCTCTGTGCTGACAGCTCAGAGCCTGGAGTCTGCTTTGGATTCTGTGTCTCCCTTTCTCTCTGCCCCTCCCCCACTCTCTTTCTCTCTGTCTCTCTCTGTCTCTGTCTCTCTCTCTCTCAAAAATAAATAAATACTAAAAAAAATTTAACTGCTAAGGGTGCCCACCGCTATTAGAGTATGTTGCTTCCAGGCCCCCTGGGTGGAAAGAGGTAGGATGCACACACACGTCTCTCTCTATTGCTCCACCGCAGAAGTACACGGTCATGCTAACACCTTCAGTTCCAGCCCAGCACCAAAGGGTTCATCCCTGCCTTCTCCTTTCTTTGTGTGTGACTTCTTTCTCAGACATGAGAAACCTAGCTCTCATTATCTGTATTTTCTTATTTTTTCAACCCTGATACATCTAAAATATAGAGAGTGTCAGAATTTCTAAACCGTGCCCCTGTGAGAATCATATGTATTAGGCAGAGTTCACTATTTCTGTTCAGTTCTGTTTTTAGCCTTATGGTATTTAGTCAGAATGCTGTTTCCCCATGTTATTCAGGCTAGTTCTGGTCTTCCCTACCTCTTCAGTGTGGTTACTGGGTTTTTTTCATGGTAGAGACTTTAGTACATCTAAAAACAATAGGAGAGGGGCGCCTGGATAGCTCAGTTGGTTAAGCGTCTGACTTTGGCCTAGGTCATGACCTCACTGTTCCCGAGTTCAAGCCCCGTGTCGGACTCTGTGCTGACAGCTCAGAGCCCCTGGACCCTGCTTAAGATTCTGTGTCTTCCTCTCTCTCTCTGCCCCTCCCCGCCATGCTTGCTTTCTCTCTCTCTCAAAAATAAGTAAACATGAAAAAAAATTTTTTTAAACCAATAGGAGGGACCCAGCTTCTATTTAAACCAATAGAAGAGAAGGCTGAATATATGAGAGAGAAAAGAGATCAAATGTAATTTTTCCTCCTTAATATGTTTCTCTTACCAAACACTTAAGTTTTCTACTGGACTATCTTCTAATCAGAAACAGTTTTAAAGACTGCACACAGACCCTCCGTGGCATTAAGAGAAAGTAGAGGTGTCCGCAGTTCCTCAACAAGAGAACATTTACAGTTAGCGTCAACTACGTTCCAGGGCTTTTGGACAGCAGACTGGATTTGAGTTTCAGTTCCAGGACCCTCTTGTTACATGCCTTCGGACAAATTATCAAACTGCTCTGAGCCTCAGCTTCATCTCCATAAAATAACTTCTCTGTCGAACTTCATTACCCGACACAGGAAAGTAGATATAAAAGAACTTTAAAAGGATGTGAAAGGGGCTTATAAAGTTGTATTATTCTTGTTACCATCGATTCTGCCAACTGTTAAATACTATGAAAAAACTGGAATATGGAGACAGAAAGCTGTTTCGCCACCTGGTTCTGTCGGTCTCAGCTAAGATGATCTGAATCAAGGATCCTGCTAAGAGAATCGGCGAGAAAACGGTACCCATGGATCGCTTATGTAGTGATTCTCCCTCCTTTGCTGTCAGTCGTCCACCAGGGTCACGTTCACTGGGGTACACGATCCACTTTCTTCCCTTGTTTATCTTCAAAGTCAATTTCCCCCTTGATGCTGTATGTCCCGTAACTAGTCCAAGTTCCTCAGAGCTGTCTCCTGGCAGCCAAATGAGGAACTTACCCACGATGCTATCAGCCTGGGCGTCTGTTGTGTTAGATGCAGCGCCCCGACGATCCAAGAGAGATTCAGTCCTCGCTGCTGCTGGCAAACGGGGCTGCTGTTGAGGGAAATACACACGAGTCGCAATTTAATTGTAGGCTATTTCGGAACTAAAGCCAAAAAAGGCTCACACTTCCACTCCTCAGTTGGCTCTAGAGAAGCAATAATGGGAGCTAGAGACCAGGAGAGATGGACGAAGGATCGATGTCACATTAAAAAAAAAAAAAAAAAAAAAAAACAGAGGCTAAAAATTCACTAACTCTGAGTGTTTTCCGTCAAGGAAAAACTAGAAAGTGTTAGGATTCTACTACCAGCTATTAAAACATGGCTTTTTTGTGTGCTTTAAGAGACATGTTTTAATCAAAATGCAAATATGAACGTAAGCATATCTCAAAGAGCTCAAGAATGATGAAGTTGCCTAGAAAGACCGTAGGACACTGTGTCATTTGCTCTTGGTTCCGGCATGCTGACCAAGGCACACCTAGACCGAAGACCTTGAGGACACAGGGTTGAAGTCAAACTCGGAACTTCACTGAGGACAGAGACCCTGCCTCAGATTTGTACAGGGCCTCATACATGGGAAGTACTGAGAAAGAGCCATCAATTTTACATTATAAAGACCTGGAGGCAACTTTATGTCTCAAGGAAATCCTAGCACATTTTGTAAAGTACGCAAGCCAAACAACCCCACGGGGTGGCCGAAATTGTGATTGCACTGAAAGGGCTTACTGCTTTAATGCTGAACTAGCCTTCCCTCAACAGACACTGGGCCCAAGAGGATTGTTTCAGATTCTCTTTTTATCCTTGTGTTACTATTTTCTGCTGCCTCTTAAATGGAAAGGAAAAAGTGACAGATGGTATAAGGGCTCATAATGACAAGGAGAAATTAAAACCAAAGGATCCAGGAAAAATCTTTACCTCTGAGTGACGCATCTCTGCTGACCCCATGCTATGGTTTGCTCCAGCCAGTGAGCTGAGAAGGTTAAAGCCTTGGTTCCTATCTGAAAAGAAAACAATCCAGTCACAGACGTTTGTTATTTACATTTTAGAGTGTGAAAATGACCTTGACGAAGGAACAGTGACTACTTCCTCATTCTAAAAGTTCTAACTATTAAAAAAAATGTTACTATAAGACAACGTGAGGAATTTATAGATCTTAATGCCTGGACTCATGCTTGCATTTTCTTTATACTTGTTATTTGAAAATATGAATTGTTTTGGAATAAAAGCTTCTTAAAAAATAGTCACTAATGATGACTACACTCTCTGATTCTGAATAATTTTTAAAACTCACAGACACAGGTCCAGGCCAAATTTAATGGCAGGGCAACCACCACAAAGGCCACTCAGTGGTTCTTTTGCAAAGGTTAACAGCACTCAGGTTCTCCTAGTCACTATGAACCAATATGGCAGTGTTTCAAACAGTGTTTCCTATGTTCAGAAACACAAGAAATCAACACAAAGGCATTATTATCATATGAAAAGGAACATGCATGCTTTTAAAAATAAAGCTTTCATTTTGTAATGGATAAGGCCTCCCTATACTCGTAATGTCTGAACTTACAGTGGAAGACAAATCTGGAGCAGAACATCTAGAAATGATGACAGCACCAGCCCGGATCACAATTTCCTCAGAATCACCTGGAATACCTATTAAAACTATCCTGGTATTCAAGGGCCCTACCTCAGACCCACTGAGGCGGAATTTCAGGGGTGGACGCCAAGGAAGCTGAACTTTCAGTATTTTTAAGTTTATTTATTTTTAGTGATCGCTACACCCAAGGTGCGGCTTGAACTCCTTGAGCCCAGGATCAAGAATGGACCCTGAGATCAAGAGTCGCATGCTCTTCCCACCCAGCCAGCCAGGTGCCCTGGAAGCCCGACTTTTCACAAGCACTCCAGGAGAACCTCAGGATCAGGGAAGTTTGAGGGGAGTAAAAAATCACTACCTTAGAGTAGAAGGTGACACCCACAATCCAACTAACGGTATAGTTGTCCAAAATATGACTTCCACGGGTTGCCTGGGCGGCTCAGTCGGTTAAGTGCCGGACTTCAGCTCAGGCCATGACCCCACCGTTCCCGAGTTCGAGCCCCGCATCGGGCTCTGTGCTGACAGCTCAGAGCCTGGAACCTGCTTTGGATTCTGTATCTCCCTCGCTCTCTCTGCCCCTACCCAACTCACACTCTGTTTCTCTCTCTCAAAAATAAACAAACATTCAAAAAAAAAAAGAACTTCCTTCCCCTTGCCTTTCCTCTCTCTGTCCCTTCCTTGAACCCATTTTCGGCTCTTTAAACCATCTATAAATTCCTAGGCCCTACCCCCATCGGGAGAAACCTGTTGTCCAGCAGTCACACGGAGGTGCTAACAACAGAGAACCACGTGCCGTCTCGGGCCTTCGAAACCAGATCGACTGCGCATGCTCGCGGAGGCCCGAGCCTTTCCCGGGCAGGCCTCCAGCCACGTGGGCAGCCTGCCTGCCGCCCGCTGGGGGCCGCGGGACCCGGGCGGCGCTGGGCAGCTTCCAGGGCCTGGTGCTTTTCTCACGCCGCACCCCAAAGCCTGTGTACTCCCAGGACCCCTCGTACCTCCTCACCTAGCTCCCGCACTCTGCCAGGGACATGCAAGGCCAAACGCTCGCGTGCCTCCCATGCGAGGACCAAGCACTAAGGTGTCACCAAGGTGCGCAGCGGAGGCGCAGCGGCCAACAGTAGAATCCACGTGGTGCCTCAGGCCGATGGCTTCACAGAGCGTGGGATGTTTGTTTAAACATCAGCAGAATTCTTTCTTTTTGGCCAGAGTGCTATAGATTTTAAAGCAGCTGTGTGCAGTTCAGGGCTGTGACAGGGATATTCCATGTCGTGGAGCTCTGACAGGAGACCCGGGGCTCTTTGTACATAAGGCAGTGTCTGAGTAACAGGGCACTGCTTGCTGTAAGAGAGCCCTCACCTCTATTCCTGGAAATACAGTGCGCTTGGAGTAATCTTCAAATGCAGTTCACACATCTCTCCCTGTTCTAATGCCACGGATTATGGTTTTCCTGTTGGGCATCACCAAAACTTGGCCGGCCAGGCTGCAATCCATGAAGAGTAAGGCAATGTTGTGTCAGCTTAGGCATGTTATTCGATCAAAACAGTCTGCTTAAAGTCCATCGTTCTTTTTTTTTTTTTTTTTTTAATGTTTTATTTATTTTTGAGAGAGAGAGAGAAATCCAAAGCAGGCTCCAGGCCCTGAGCTGTCATCACAGAGCCGGACACAGGGCTCGAACTCACAAACTGTGAGATCATGACCTGAGCCAAAGTTGGATACTTACCCGACTGAGCCACCCAGACACCCCAACGACCCTCATTCTTTCTAGTGGCTGCCTTCAAGAAGGGGGGTCTAGGATGGAGTTAGAAGAGCCAGACTCATCCCTGCAAATCATGAGAAAGTCTGAATGGGAGGAAGAGAACTGGGCTCCAGGTCAGAAAGCCTGGATTTCATTCCTGGCTCTGCTTCCCAATGTGATGCTGGACAAATTAATGAATCTTTCTGTGTCTCAATTTTTTGATCCATAATGTAAGAGAAGTGCTATACCCATGGTTGTTAAGGTCCCTTCTGCCCTAGAAGTTTGTGATTTTTTGAAGAGGTACTTTTTAGCCTCTCTGACAGTAGCTTTGAATTAGCTGGGCTTTTAAAAAAAATTACTGAATAGAAAAACAAGAGCCTGAAATTTCCTAATCCTTTTAAGGTTCACAGACGGACGACTACGAGTTTATAATCAGGTTTCAGGCTAATTATAATAAGCTGGAAGGACTTTTGCTCAGAATTTTCTTATAAACAATGGAGAAACTGGTCAACTGACAAGAGAGTTCACCATGTCCCCTGCTTGTATTTTAAGGAGATCAGAAACACAGCAATCGTCACGATTAGAAAAAAACAATTCATTCTTGTTTATCCAAAGCAGACTGCTCGCACACTAATGTGGCTCAGAAAAACTTGGATGGTATTTTATCCACCTACGGCTTTAAAAAAACTCAGTTCTGCCTAGTTCAAAACGTGTTTAGCAAAACTCTGCCTGTGTGCACCCACTGTAAAACCATTCTCATAGGAAAGGATTACATAAATCTTTTCTTGTTTGCCAGATTTTTCTCCCCAGGACTCAGGGCATGGAAATATCATCCCTATTAAGAAGAATTTATTTCTTTAGCAGGTAGCTGTTGAAATTGGCTTTTGCATCTCTCGTTTTATTGATGCCACAAAATACTTGACTAGGAAGGAATAAATTAATCCGCTACTGAACTGATTCTTCTGGAGCTTGAGAGCTACAGAAAAGGGAAGTTGTTAATGGTGTAAAATCAATTATTCTGGAAGGCACAGAAAGTATATTAAACTCTGGTCCTAAAAGCCATCTAATTCCATTTTAGACTGCTAAGTGGGCACCTGTGGAATACTAGATTTTAAAAAAGAGAGTCATGAAAAACTCAAGTGGTGCTGGTCATTAGCACGGGATTCTTGTACAAGTGTCAGAAACAAAGCTACGACCTCGAGAATAAAGATTTCACGTGCTTTGGGGAGGAGCTTTGATTTGTTTACTTTATTAAGAAGAAGTTTCCAGAAGATTTCATATAGATGACATTGCTAGGGTTTCTCTTCATAAACCTAAAAGCACAGGATTTTGGGGGCACCTGGGTGGCTCAGTTGGTTGAGCGTCCACCTTCAGCGCAGGTCATGATCTCACAGTTTGTGAGTTCGAGCCCCACGTTGGGCTCTGTGCCAACAGCTCAGAGCCTGGGGCCTTCCTTCGGATTCTGTGTCTTCCTCTCTCTCTGCCCTTCCCCCGCCCATGCTCTGTCTCTATGTCTCTCTCTCTCTCTCAAAAGTAAAACAAAAACATGAAAAAAATAAAAGCACAGAATTTTTATAGAAACATAACATGTACTTCACACAGCAATTGTGACTTCCATTCCCTGAGACACTTACAGAACTGAAAACTTGGGCCCAAAGGGAAATTTTAGAGAGGTTTTTACTTCAAATTTCTATACAACACAGCAACAATATTGAGGATTTCCATGACTACACCCCAAAAATGTCTTAGATGACCTCTTCTATTTTTTCTGTATTCATATTCAGCTTTTATTTCTTTAAAGCAGCAATTAGTTGGCATCATCTTTAGAAGTTCAAGTCTTCCCCATAGTTTAAGTTTTGTTTACACCCACCTTCTCTTCCTACAAAATATTTTCTTTTCTACCAGGTGATACATGTGACCACGCTTCCACCACAACTAAGATATTTCAGCTTCCATACAGACGCTGCACCTCTTTTTTAATGTTTTTAAATCACACCATGAACACTTATTTTAAGTACTCCATCAAAAATGATTTCACTAGTATTTGTGAAATAAGCCTACACATCTTTATCACATTAAAAATAATTTTTTTAATGTTTATTTTTGAGAGAGAGAGAGACAGAGTATGAGTGGAGGAAGGGCAGAGAGAGTGAGGGACACAGAATCCAAGGCAGATTCCAAGCTCCAAGCTGTCAGTACAGAGCCCGACTTGGGGCTCGAACTCACGAACCGTGAGATCATGACCTGAGCCCAAGTTGGACACTTAACCAATTGAGCCACCCAGGTGCCCCTATCACATTCCACTTCTGCTTGACATAATGAAATGAATGATTCTGAAATCGCAAAAGAATTAGAAGAACAGATTTATTCTCTTTTAATGAACTATTGCTTGAAAAGACAACACTCTGTGGCTGGCGGCACCACTGGCTTTTGAGTCCACGACAGAGGATCCGTGCTCTCCCTCTGACGCCTGGGCACCTGCTCCTGAGTGCAGAACTGTTTCTGCCAATACTCGGAGACACGATGAACATGACCAGAAAGGAACCAGACTGTGCTTTTTCCCTTTTTCCCGACTGTAAACGAAATGTTCACGGTAGAAAATTCAGGAAGTAGAGAAGAGCATTAAGAAGAAAAGAAACCATGGAAGACGCCAGGCAGGGCTTTGGCATACGTCC